ATCAGGGAAGAAGCTAGCAAAAGGTTTGGTTTGCTGCAAAAGGGATTGCGAAACAGTACTTAGACTTGTACTTTCGCTTTGCTTTGTCAGTGTGGCTCAGCCTACTGACTTCTACAGGTCTCTCAGTCAGCACAAATTAAAGCTCTGCTATTGTCCCCTGCTATGGCTGTTCTGAAGTAAATTGGTATTTCGTAGTTCTAATTTTATGCAGCGACTTCCTAATTATTACTGTCAGTATTTTCTGCCCAGGAGGTACTGTTTGGTTTGAGGGTATTGTAACCAGAGCAACCTCACGTGCTCACTGGCCATAATGTGAACTGAAGTTAAATGTTGAACGACGAGGCATCCACTGAAACCTGTTTTTGATTATATTGTTTAAGCATACCTTTATTGTAGGTAGGATGGGGAGAGAAGTCCCTACAGATTACCAGCACCAGCTGACAAACCACGTTTGACCTACCCAGGTGCCAGCTGCTTTTAAAATGCTGCTCGAGCTGTGGAGCGCCAAGTAAAGTCTGCTTTTGCTCTTGTTTCTGGGCCCTTGTTAAATTGTCCAGAGACAATCAAAAGATATTTGCTATTCAAGCTAATAGCACCTCTGAGTCCTTCCGAAACACTTTTTTTGTAAAGCACAGCAGACCCAGAGCGGTTCAGGGGCCATTCCAGGACCTTATTTAATTTAAGCTGCTTTAGTTGGCATAGCAACTAGTTGAGACATCTGGGAATTATCTTGTTTGGGATTGAAGCTGAGGAGGGTTTAGGTGGGAGAGCCAAACAAGGAAGATTCACGTGACACAGTGAAGTACAGAGTACTGTATTTCAATCACTTTTCTGGAAATAAATATTGGATACATGGAAGCCTTTTACTTTCTAGCCCAGTGAAATGGAGTGAAGTGGCTTGGGACTCTGTCAGGCAGGCATGCAGCAATATAACTCTTTGAAAAAAGAAAACAACCAGGCCAGAGTTGGTATTGGGGAGAAGTTGACTAAGGAAAGATCAAGTTTAAAGAATCAGTTGGATCCAGCTGGGGGCTGCAGAGAAAAAATCCAGAAAAAAATTCTCCGATGCATCCCTGTGGGAGAAGCATTTGGCCAAAGACTTGGAATGTTGCTGATTCATCCACTCTAAGCCGACTTCCCTCCTGGTCACATGATCCAAAGCATATGCACACACAGAGATGCATTGCAAGGGGAAAGCTGACACACACACATTAATTTCACTTAAGAAAATATAGACCTGTCCTATGGCCATTGGTAAAGGGGTTGGAAATAATTGTAGACATTATTCTCTGCATGCTTTCCTTACCTTGTATGGTTGGATGAAAAATCTGTACAGGTTGCACTAGAGGTAATTAAGAAGAGTATTGGGAGAAGTTAGCATCCTTGTGAGGATCATGAGAGATAAAAACTAGGAGAGACTTTGAGAAAAGAGACATGATAGCAGGGGGAGAATATGATAACACTTCAGGTACCTAAAGGATGTCACACGGAAGGAAGTCAAAACCTATTCTGTAGGGTTCTAGAACACAGGACACAAAAGAACAGAGTAAGTTATAGGAAGGCAGGTTTCAGTTGGATGTTAGGAAAAGCTTACTAATGGGTAAGAGCAGTTGAACAGTGGAAGCAATTAGCAAGAAGGTGGTGAGTTTTCTTTCACTGGGAGCAGAGATTAGACAACTATTTTGGGACTGGTTGATTTGGATTTCTGTAGGGAATTGGACTCTGGGCCTAAATTGCTGGTCTCAGCTGTGAATCGAAGTATGAAATCTGCCTATGCTTCCAAAATAAGCTTTCTAAAAATGTATGACTTGTCTTTCTATCAGGCTTTGCCAGGACACTGGAGATAATAAGGAGGTCTTACAAAAACATACTGTATGGAGATCTCTACCAAGCTGAGCATCATTTGCCCAGCTAAATAATTACAAGAAACTCACAATAGGGGGCTGGATTCTCTGTACAAAATCCCAAAATGTTTCAAGCAGCTTTTTGGAGGGCAAATTGTGCTGCAAAGCAACGGTCCAGTTTTAAGAGCTACCTGTAAAACAAGGTACAACAAGTTGGGCTGGTGTGATTGATGGCTATTGGTTTAAAAGGACAAATTAACATTGAGAAGGATTTTAAAACTTGTCAATGAAGGAGCCCTAAAAAGATTTCGGGCAACTTAAAATACCTTGCCTGGTCTTTGGATTAAATCAAAAACAAACTAGTGTGCTCAGAGGGTAGAGAACAGCAATTAGCCATCATGTAATAGTAGCATGTCGTGAATACACATTCCATATTTTGTCAGAGTCCATCCATCTCAATTCCAAAACGTATTTACAAATCTTATGCAGGTATGCAGGAGCACTTAAATAGGATGGTTCTCATATGATTCACACTTCTCTTAGAATATGTGATTTTCTCCAGGAAAAAATATCATTAACTGATTTAGAACTATATTGTAAAGGGGAGAGGGAATATTCTTGAAGGACAGAACATAGAGGGACTACCAGGGCAATGGTCAGATAAAGGGGGGCTGAGTTTAGGCCAAGAAAGTAACATGAGTAAATGTCTCAGACAACCCCCTCTTTGCCTGAGACACTTTCTCAAGTTATTTGTTGGCTTGGACTCAAACTCCACTCATGTGACCATTGCCTCGCTAGCAGCTCTTCTTCCTGTCCTTCAAGGCCATTCACTCTGCCCTCTACATATATCCTGCTTTTTGACTAAATGATCCTCAAAATATAAAAGACTGTAAAAAAAAAAAAACTTGTGCACACACATATTCCAGGAGCACACCATGCCCTGGCTAATGGGAAACATCTCTATGTTTTCCTTCTCTTTTGCAGTCCCAGGGCAACCAGTTGTTAGGGCTGAGTGTTATTTCCTGCAGGGAAAAGAGGGATGCTCCCAGAAGCTGCTCTTTGTCTGGCTGATAAATGGGAGGTGGGAGCTGCTATCTATTAAGGGCTCCTGACCCCCCTGGCTGGTATCATGTTTTTACTATCTTATAACATGCCAAACACATGTCCTGCATAGGCAGATGACCTTCAGAACTGGAATTAGCTGTAAAAATAAGAGTTTGGTTAGTACATGGGCATGATGCAAACACTTTTGAAATGCTCTTTGCATCTTTTGAAACAGAGGCATATTTGGCTGAGGCCAGGCATCCAGCTATGGGCTCAAGGCAATAAATATTGTCACAGCCATTTTTATTTATTTTTTGCTCCACATTTGCCTTTTCTTTGGCATATATATTTTGTCCGCATTGCCTGTTTAGATTGTCTTAATTTCTGCTGCTGAGATGCAGATATAATTAACAAGGAATAATTAGCCACCTGTATACCATTTCTGTGTCAGAGGTGTGGACCCATTAGGCTGATATGTGAGTATAATTCTGAATTCAGAATCAAGGATGGGAGATACCAATTTCTTCATCTAGAAGACAGCATGTTACTCTCTTGTGCCTTAAATTTCAGTTGTGATTGTTGTTTTTCTCTGCTATTTCTAGCACAAATATAATTAAACCATTGGAAGGAATATATTTGTCAGTTTACCCCTCATTGTAAATATATCCTTACAAGCCACCTACAAAGTAGTTTTGAGAAGCAGAAAAGAATAAATAAAATATGCAGATAGGGTATCAAATTGTTAGCTGCCCTGAGTCACATTTGTGAGATGGGCCACCATATAAGTAGATTTAAAGGAATAAATAAAATTTGAGGCAGCAACAGCCTTTAAAATACACACACACACAGACACAATTATATAATGTATTGTTCCAATCCATAGATTTCTTTTTAGATTGTATAAATCTCTTGCCTTTTCCTAAGTAAAATCAGTCCTACTATAAGTTTTAAAAATGCAAAGAGTAGCAATTCCTAAAAGGTGGCAAAAAAGGAATGTTTTTGAGTAGTGCTGCCTCCCCTTCTCCTCCCCTTCCCCTCCCCTCCATTCCAAATGAGAGGAGCCAATATTGAAAAGAAGGGTATGATCTGTGCCACCCTTTGCATATCAGATCAACATTCCCTGATCCGGCTCCTTTTAGATACGCTGCACCTGCAACTCTCTGTCTTTTCTTTTTAAAATTTTGAATTAGTTTCTTCACTCCTGCTTGTCCCTAAAATCTTTCAGTGCTGCTACCAAAAGCACAGCTTGATACTCGAAAATCAAGATACACTGGTTTTGCTTCAGGCTATATGTCCTTCCAGACTCTTGTCTACAACCAAGATTATACATCAGAGATTTTGCTTGGCAATTGCATTGATGAGGAAGATGGAGCCAGGCTCCTGTCTTGATCTCCCTTTCAGTTATATTGAAAGAGTTTATTGGAAACAGTAGAAAATCATCTAAGCAGGTATGATTCAAGTGAACAGATAGGAGCAATTTCCCAAGGTGCCTCTTTAACTTACATTCCTAACTTAATGTTGCATGTGAGAAGTGGGCGGGTTCTCAGGTATGATTTCAGCGGGTTCTCAGGTATGATGGTAACCCTTCATGGGATGAGGGGTTACCATCTCAGTAGGTTTCTGTACTGTTCCTAATGCTATTTTGTAATTCCACCTTAAAACAGTCATCAGGAAGAGGGTACTGATTTTTGTCACATTGAATAGTGCTTGCTGATCTGATTGATTGATTGATTGATTGATCAATGATCAGTGAGCAATTTCATCTCCTGTCAGTCCAGATCTATCACTGGGACTTTTTGTCTTGTTTCCTCATGTACAGTTGCCAATCTGAAAAAAAGAAAAGTGCATCTTTAAATAAATGGGTGATGTGTAATTGAAAAGAAAAAGAGAGATTTACTGCCCTCAAGCACAAAGATTTTTTTAATGGTCCTCTAGTCAAAAAAACTGTCTTAGAGGTAAACAGCAAGGCCTTTATGATAGAAATAATCCTTAGCAACTGTTCAAATCTTTTCTAGTTCTGTAACATATAAATAGCTACAGATTAAAAGATATGAGAAAGAGCTGTTGTTGTAATGTCTCTTGCATCTTGCAGGAATTGAAATTATCTGATCCACTTTCTCTCTTGAATTTTCCTTAATGAATACAATTAAAGATATGTTGTTACAGAATTGATGCAGAGTGATCTCCATAAGATTATTGTCTCTCCTCAGCCGCTCAGCTCAGATCACGTCAAAGTTTTTCTTTACCAGATTTTAAGAGGTAATTTACTTTGATTTTTAATGCGGAATAAATATATTGGAGTCCCCACTGCAATATGTAAGCGTATTTCCCCACTGCTGACCATGTAATATAAACACTCTAGTAGAAGCCAATTTGTGGGACTGCCCATAAAATAGAAGACTGGTGATGGGGAGATTGAAGGCACATCTGAAACAAGAGGAGGGGGCGTATAAATTAAAATGAGGTAAAGGGTGGCCTGCAAGTAAGCACATTTTAAAAACCACTTACAGCTGCAAAGTAATTTGTGGATTAGTCATACTCCATTGCTTTTCTAATATTAATATAGTTCATAGTTTTATGAACTATATGAACATTTATGAATTTATGAATTCACTTTACAATTGATAAAACATATGCTTTTTTAATTTAGAAAGGTTTTTTTTTTAATCCAAATACTTTTTAGAAAAAGGGGAACTTGAACCTGAGTCTCCCTAGTCTTAGTCTAGCATATTCCCCATACTTCTTGAACAGTGTGATGTGATACAGTGGCTAAAGTATTGGGGTAGGATTAAGTGCACCCTCAACTACTGAAGCTCACAGGGTGAATTTGGGTGAGTAGCTATCCCTCTTCCCAGAGGAAGAGGAAATACTATATACACCACCCTGCTCCTAGACTCAATGGGGTTGTTTTTCTTAGGGTTGCTCTGCATGAACTCCATTTGCCTAGTTCTTACGGTGAAGCTTATCAGTGGATGAAGCAAAAAGGATTGTTTCTTCATTTCTTGGCCAGCTTGTTGCAGATTTGGGCTGAGAGGGAGTGACTGGCCTCAGGGCACCCAGCTGGCTTCTGTGCCTAAGGAAGGACTAGAACCGAGGTCTCCCCGCTCCTACTACAGCACCTTAACCACTAAATCATGCTGGTTCCCTTCTGGACTTTATTGATTAAGTGCCATCAAGTCAGTGTTGACTCTTTGCGACCACAGGGATAAATTTCCTCCAGGACCCTTCTGGACAAAAGGGGTCTAAGAGTGAAAAAAAGAATGTTTTGGCTAATGTGCTATAAACACGTCAGTTTTTGCAGGCACAGACTTGATACCACAGCCTGTTTCTGTGCACTGTGTTGATTTTAAACTTCTGCTCTGCTTTGCTTTTTTCTAGGCCTGAAATACTTACATTCAGCTGGTATTTTGCATCGAGACATTAAACCAGGGAACCTTCTTGTGAACAGCAACTGTGTTCTTAAGGTATTTTTTTAATGCCTGCATGAAATAGGCAGCCTTTCTGAGTCCATGCAGAAAAGCATTTGTGTGAGGACTTGCTTTTGCAATCTGTGTAACCCCAATATATTTAGTACAAAACCTGGGAACTTTGCATTTCTTGAAACAACCATAAATATTAATGATGAGTTTGTGCTGATGAAGTAACTGTCCCTATTTTAAAAATAGGATTTCGTTGAATGCATTATTGGCAGTACGATTGCAACACTGAGAAGTGTTGTTAACTACTCACTTGCCATATTTCACAGCTGTGATTGTCTTCTAATGGTATAAACAATTTCACTTGGGCTGAGTAGTGGCAGAGGGAGAATTATATTTCTCCTTATCTCCTCCCCATAATAAAGCTAAATCAAACAAACCGTGCTTAAAAGCCAGAGATTTTCCCTTGTTGTAAGGTATTCTCACCAAGTCCCACTGAAGGCAATGGCTTTTCTTCCCTGTTAATTTAGTAGCTTAGGATTCTGGTCTGGGCAGAATCTGGTCTCTTTTCTACTCTAGCATAAAAGTGTTAATGTTTACTCCAGTGCAAATAATGATATGATTATTTGAATCTCTTCATATTCCTATTTCTGAGAGCATTGGCTATACAATTGTTTTCAATCTTGGCAACTGGCTGGCTGGGGAATTCTGGGAGTTGAAGTCCACACATCTTCATGTTGCCAAGGTTGAGAAACAGTAGGCTATGCAGTGGCTTACTGCCACATGTGAGCTAAGGACTCACTGCTACAAACAGCAAACTGGATTGTACTTTAGACACTTGATAGGAGCCCCTATGATTGAATCTCTTTACATACAAAATAAGTCAGCATATTAAAATAACAATGAGGGCTAGGTTAGAATTCCTTTTCATGATATACAGTACTGGTTTTCACTTTGGAGAGACTTATAGCTCTTTTGTGTAGAAGAGCATAAGCCCCACCTGCTCTTCCAAGTAAGTACAACCCAGATACAGCTGGACTTTATCTGCTTGTGGAAACGAGGCCTTGAAAGATCAGCACAGAGGAAATCCTGGGTAGAACATTGGCCAGTGTTAATTCACCTTCCCACCATGCACCCTAATCATAGCCATGCACAAACAGTGGTGGGGAGATGAAGTGGGTGGCAGGGAAGGAAGTACACTTGCCTTCTAGCATGCACAGACATTCAGGGATGATCTGGACTTTTGTGTGAATGTACCTTCCACTGCATTGTTTCTATTCCAACAACGGTGAGAGGATTACAGGAGTTATAAACTACAGGTATAGTCTATATTTGTACATATCTGACTCAAGCCCAAGCCGTGTTTCATATAGGCTATTACTAAGATGGAGAACCAGTTTGGTGTAGTGGTTAAGGCACCGGGCTAGAAACCAGGAGACCCTGAGTTCTAGCCCTGACTTAGGCACAAAGCCAGCTGGGGGACCTTGGGCCAGTCACTCTCTCTCAGCCCCAGGAAACAAGCAATGGCAAACCACTTCCGAAATCTTGCCAAGAGAACTGTAGGGACTTGTCTAGGCAGTCGCCAGGAGTCAACACTGACTGAAGGGAAGGGAAGGGAAGGGAAGGGAAGGGAAGGGAAGGGAAGGGAAGGGAAGGGAGACT